TCTGAGCCGGCCGTCTCCGCCCCCACCCGAGAAAATGGAGGCAGCTCTGTTGCGGGCGCCTTGCCTGGTGTGGTAAGCGGGGGCCAGGCGGGCAGGGACCAGTCAGGCTTCTTCCCCGCAAGTGGGGCTGGGCTGGGGGTGACTCACAGAGCTCGCAGAGTTGGGCCGGTCTGGCGCCTTCCACTCCGTTTCTGTGTCGTCTCTGCTGGCTTACTTGGCCTTTGTTGTCTCGGGCTGCTCGCTCAAACCTGCAGCACGGCTTGGGCGCTCTCAGGAGTCTTCTTTTGTGATGGCCCTAAAACCTCGAACCTGTATTTGCTTGTTTGTCGCTGTAGGTTAGTTGTTCAAAGATTTATTCGTTTTCTGTTGCTCTTGGAAATGCAAATAGTACTCTGGTATCACAGTGCACACTTCTCAGGTTTGCGCTGTCTCCTGGCACGGCCGCTCCAGACCCATCGCCATCTTAAAGTCCTGTTTGTGTCTTTATATTTAAAGTAGGATTCTGGTAAGTGGCAAGTAGTTTGGTTGTGCTTTTTCATTCAACATGAAGATCTTTGCTTTTTTAATCGTGACATTCAGACCATTCACATTTCATGTTTTCACATAAATCTCCCATCCTGCTATTTGTTTTCTCCTTGTTCCATCTGTTATTTATTCCCCTTTCTTCTCTCTCTGTCTTTAAAATGAGATGTTTTTCTTATGATTTAGTTTTACAAAGCAGGTTTTAATTAATAAAAATCTTTTCCATGGAGAGTTTGCACTGAGTTTCATTGGTTTTTGAACCAGTTTTGATAATATATAAAAATACCACTGATGGGTTTGCAGGATCGACTGATTGGCAATAGAAAAAATAGAAATTTATCTGAATTTCAACCAGACATATTAGTGGTTAGGAAACAAAACTATAAGTCTGATGTTTAAAACAGCAAATTCACATACTTTTTGGAATATCTTTCTCAAATAGTGTAACTGAAATTCTAAGTACTGAACTAAATTAAACTGAACCTTAAATTACTACCTCACAGAGTATCAAAGAAAAATTTGACAATCAGTAACATATATCTAATTAATGCTTTCATTTGAAAGTACATGCTACCTTCAGTACTGAACTAAATTAAACTGAACCTTAAATTACTACCTCACAGAGTATCAAAGATAAATTTGACAATCAGTAACATATATCTAATTAATGCTTTCATTTGAAAGTACATGCTACCTTCAACAGAACAAAGAGTCTTGTTCAGTAGTAAAATAAAATATTTAAAAATATGCACATTTTATATTTTGTTTTTAATTTCTATTTTTGTTTACACTTTAAAATATAAATAATAGGTTAGCATAGTGCATGTACGTATTGTTACTAAAGGAGTATACATTCATTAGGAGTGCATCTTCGAAATTCTTTTGCTGATAAAGGGTTTCACAATCAAAATTTTAAAAACCCCCAGACTAGAGGACTTTTAGATCACCAAGAATTAAGCTAAATATTTTTTAAAGTTGACATGAAGAAAATATCTTAACTCTTGATCTATTTAGTCTCATTTATATTATTGTAGACTATGGATATAGTCTTATCTACAGATGGTGAACTGTCCTGTGTTACATTATGTGAAAAAATGCAAAATATTAAGAAAGCTACTAAATGTCACTATAATAACATATGTTTTCACCCTTAATTGCCATAATGGGCAGTCACTGCTCTTGATTAATCTCAGCTACTTACTAATTCACAAGTATAAATATTGACCCATTCCAGTGGTTCCACTATTTAATTTATCTCACATATTAGTTTACAGTTATTTGTAAAACTGCATTTGCAAACAGATACAAATGCACAAGATCTCAATTTCATAGGATGGTGCAATGTACCTATTCATTTTTTGTTAATGTAATTACCGATTTGTATACTCACTATGTGAGGCACAGTCTATGACTGATACACGAACATGTATGTTTGAATTTACTGCTGTAACACCAATAAAACCCCAAATTCAGTCTGTTTATGAACGGAAAAAATATATACATTTAAATCAGGACTAATTGATGGAAAAGAAATGATGAAGTCTTCCCAAGGAAGTTGAGTTTGATGTGCTGGCTAATTGTGTAATTATTTAAGGTTTTATTTTAACAGATTTAGAAGCACCTTAGCTCTTATATTGCTTAAAATTATTAATACTCATTCATTTTCTGGTAATAAAATGAACATGCTTTATTTTTAGCATTTTTATTATTAAAAATTTGGAAATACAGAACATTGTAAAGAAGAGAAATACCGAGTAATCTCATCTATCCAGAGATAATGACTGGTAAAGACATTTGTTACAGAATTAGATAAGACTTTTAAAACAGAGATATAATTTAAAAAAACCCAAAATCTATTTGTTTTTTATATTCAAAGTCACATGTGTTAATATGTTCAGTGTATGTGGAAATATGGATAATAATAAGTCTACACTAGTTTTAATCACAGTTCTAATTCTTTAATAGCAAATTCTGAACTTTAATGACTTCATTTTTCCTTTTTGGATTTGCTTTCCAGATGTATCATAGAATTCGTCACTCAGAGTGCATTTACCGAGTAACTATGGAAAAGCTGTCCTATCACAGCATTTGTACTGCAGAAGAGTGGCAAGGCCTCATGCGTTTCACTCTCCCTGTTCGTCTCTGCAAAGAAATTGAATTGTGAGTGTTTTGCTTTGTCAGTTTTTTCAGGAAGAGATTTTTAATTTGACTGAACTTAAAGTGAAACAGGTTATAGAATTAGTTACAATTGATATACACACATCACCTGTGTAGTTTCTTGTGTCGCTATTTTCCCCTTCTGAAGTGACTCCAAATCATGTGATAGAACTTAGAAATAAAGGCCAGACCTCATTACCTCAAAAAACAAAGTCCAAACTCAGTTTTGAAATGAGTTGACCTAAATGTTAGCATTTCTCATTAGTCTGCTGCATACTTTATATCATATAATATCTAATACTCAAAATGGAATTAATATCAGATATCTAAAGTTTTCATTTTTATGTAAACTTAAATTTCCATATTAAATTCAAGAAGTTAGTAATAATTAGTTCTACTTTTATACTTTGATTTCTAATGCTATGCTAATGTATTTGTTACTAGTGATAGCGTCTGTGATAATTTGTATGCCCATTTTAAGTGCAAGTCAACACTATTTAACCACTTAGGAAATCTCCAGAAGTGACCTAGAGCTGATATCTGCCTTATAATTGGAAATATAGTATATACTTTATTTCAGTTGAACATTAGTTACTGAATTGGCAATGGAAAAATAATAACTTTAGGTGTATACATTTAGGAATATTTTTAATCTCTTTATCCCTATTTAAATAGGAGAAGGAACAATTTCAACTCTAAAAAAGTAATTCTGATAAGGGTTTTTTCTCCCTTGTCCATGAGTTACGTAATATATGTGTAGTACTCACAATGTATTTTTTCTACTTTTTTATTGCTTTGATAACAACTGAAACATCTTTCTTTAACAGATAATGTAATAGAAAATTAATCATTAATTTAAATGGTGGACTAAGTTCCTAAGGGATTATGTGGAATTTCTTCCTGGAAACCTTTCAGTACAAGAGAAATGTGACTGAGAGGCAGAAACAGGGATGGCTGAGCTCCCAGTGTCTTTTTAGTTTCTTGGAAGACAAAAAGTTAGATGATAATTTCTTCCTGGAAACCTTTCAGTACAAGAGAAATGTGACTGAGAGGCAGGAACAGGGATGGCTGAGCTCCCAGTGTCTTTTTAGTTTCTTGGAAGACAAAAAGTTAGATGANAACAGGGATGGCTGAGCTCCCAGTGTCTTTTTAGTTTCTTGGAAGACAAAAAGTTAGATGATTTCTTTACTTAGAATGTTTACCCTAATTGCATTTAGTAATAAACTGCCCTCTTGTGATTTCAGATTCCACTTCGACATTGGTCCTTTCGAAAACATGTGGCCTGGGATTTTTGTCCATATGGTTCATCAGTCCTGTGGGACATCCTGGTATGAATGACTTAAAAACTTCCTTTTTAAAATAATGACTGATGTGACATCCTCCTCCTTGTGCCTATATGCCTCACCACCTTCTTTGTTCATAATTGTTTTAAAATATGGAGTATATAGTTTTTTGCCTAAATATTCAGATTAAAAAGGGCTGAGATTGTTTGATAAATCCACAGCCCTTCCTGTCAAGGTTGCTGGGTTCTGAGGCAATGTGATTGTATCCTGGTCAACAACCAAACATCTAAGAGTCTATCATAAAAATAGAGGTTGAAATTGCTTGCAGTTGTATAACTGAAAGAGCCAGGGGTTAATACTAAACCGAATTACATACTTAAAAAAAGTTATATTTAGAACATTGCATGTAAATTTAGCATCAGCTTTCAACTTATATTACATGCCTATTAGAATAGGTATAAAAGAAATATCTCCTAATTCAAAGTATGGTACTTTGTCAGTAATTTAATTACAGCGCTGTTTCATTGCAGATCTTTCCCCACCATTTTGGCCTGTCTTAGAGGCCTTTAATGACTTACATCTGATCTTTTACAGATTAAGCACACAAATTTAAAATGCAGAGAATAATTATTCTTTTGCTCCTTTTTACTAATTTAGGCATTAAATGCTGCATAGAGCCTCGTAGTTCTCTAGAACTAAATTGTCACTCCTCCTGAATTTTATGTCTCCTCTCTTACTTCTATCAGTGACTTCTTATAAATTGCCATTTTAAAGGATACACACAGGTTAACTAACTCCAGTTACTTCTTAGATATCCATTGAGAGTTTGACCAGTTGGAACTCTTAAAATGTCATATGTTATACTTCAAGAACATTTGAAAATTTTTCATTGGAGAAAAACACAGGTTAAATATTTTTAAAAGTTTTTATGAACTCCCTGTCTTCTTGGTTTTTCAGAGAGCACTGTTTTATATTGATGTGCTTTGTCTTAAGCTGCCTTAAATCTATTTTGAGGGTGGTAGGGCCTTGAATAAGTATAAACATATGATCGTAGTATAAAAATATATAGAAATAAAATATCATAACGATGTATTTAATAAAAATATATATCATATTCTTTTGTGTACTGTTAATATTTGGATATGGTCATTTGGTATTAAATAATTTGAGTGTATCATAATACTTTGGATTCATTTTGTAAGGATAATCACTCATTTAGAAAAATCTCATGATATACATATTTGCAGTTTGAGAATCTGAATATGCTTTTTGGAAAATATTATCTACAAATACTCTTGAGCAGGATGATGCTATGTTGTTGTTTTTTGAGCACTGTGGGGTGTAGGAAATGCTTGTAAACTAAGGAAGATCATTGGGGTTAATGATAGGTGACTGCATGCTGATTCTGGTATTTTGTTCCTGGTGGGACAGTTAATATATCAGAACAGAAACAATAAAAGTCCCCATCTGCTTACTTGTTTCTGGCTGGAGAAATGGGACGGAAGCGACGAGTGAGTTTCCAGTGCTCATGGGCTCATCTAGGAGGAAGCGCACCTCCGAGAGTGGAGCGATTCTCTACTGGTTTCAGTCGTAACAGTTTCTTTTCCACACAGCTTTGAGCTTGAAAAGTTGTGTCGTTTCATTATGTCTGTGAAGAAGAACTATCGGCGGGTTCCTTATCACAACTGGAAGCATGCGGTCACCGTGGCACACTGCATGTATGCCATACTGCAGAACAATCAGATGCTTTTCACAGACCTGGAGGTGGGTGTGCACGTACTTTCCCCCTGTTTCACATGACCTCAGTGGATTTACTATACTCTATGTCAGGAGCACATTTATGACATGATTTGTGACATGTTATTCCAGGACAAATTTTGGTTCAGTAAATAAATAGAAGCTGATTTTTTAGATTCCTGTACCCAAGCATTTAGCATATTCTTCTATATAACAAATGTAAAGAAATTTCAACTTCAACGAAATATCCCCCAAGGAAACACTAATTTTTGTATTCTTTCTTCTCAATTAAAACTTAAATGTTCTGAAAGGATGTAGACAGTGAATTTTTCTCAGTTCCCATGCGCCTTGGATAATGTAGACATATTCTCCTAATTTGAGAACCCAGAACATTAAATACAACTAAGACATAAATTCTTTTTGATCTCTTCAACATAAGGAAACAGAGACTCTGAGATGCTTAACTGGTTTACCTGACTTTACGTACCCAGAGTTGGTGACATACACAAAGCTTTCAAAATCCCAGATTTGGAGACTGCCTTGTCCGTTCACCCATCGTAGTTGAATCCTCTCACTTGAAAGCCGGCGGATGTACGGTAGCCAAGTGCTTAGTGATAGGAAACTCCTTGGCCCAAATGATGCTGGTTCCACATCTGGAAAATCCTGATATTGAAGGATGTCCCTCTGACCACGCTGGTCCCGGTGGTGCCTACTAATACCCTAGATCAAATTCTGCTTTCTCTGCTCCTCTGNAGCTGATTTTTTAGATTCCTGTACCCAAGCATTTAGCATATTCTTCTATATAACAAATGTAGATAAAGAAATTTCAACTTCAACGAAATATCCCCCAAGGAAACACTAATTTTTGTATTCTTTCTTCTCAATTAAAACTTAAATGTTCTGAAAGGATGTAGACAGTGAATTTTTCTCAGTTCCCATGCGCCTTGGATAATGTAGACATATTCTCCTAATTTGAGAACCCAGAACATTAAATACAACTAAGACATAAATTCTTTTTGATCTCTTCGAGCATAAGGAAACAGAGACTCTGAGATGCTTAACTGGTTTACCTGACTTTACGTACCCAGAGTTGGTGACATACACAAAGCTTTCAAAATCCCAGATTTGGAGACTGCCTTGTCCGTTCACCCATCGTAGTTGAATCCTCTCACTTGAAAGCCCAGCCAAGTGCTTAGTGATAGGAAACTCCTTGGCCCAAATGATGCTGGTTCCACATCTGGAAAATCCTGATATTGAAGGATGTCCCTCTGACCGCGCTGGTCCCGGTGGTGCCTACTAATACCCTAGATCAAATTCTGCTTTCTCTGCTCCTCTGTAAAATTGATATCAGACTTCAGAGGACTTCTGCCTGCAGAGAAGGGAGCTGTCATCTCTGTGATAAATAAATTGTGCATCTCTTAAGGCCACATTCAGACTGGGTTCTAGAATAGACTCCTGAAGTCTATTCCTATTCTTTTTTCATTCTTTCAGACCAAATTCACAATCTGAGCAGAAAACTTGGAAGGTACATTCTACGTGGGAAGAAAGTATCATTTTAAAGAAGGAGTCAAAAATTTTCCTGTTCGTTTGTTTTTATTTTTATTTTTTAAAAATAATCTTTGGTTGAAGTGAAGTTTAATCTCATAA